CCTGAAAACCAGATCGAGCCGCTGAGTTCCAATACGGAGCAGCCTCGTGGCACGACATCAGCTGGGTTGCTCTTTGTTGGTACATGCCACCAGCTTGCTCCTGTTGTGAGATCTTGAATCTATGACACCCGATTGCCCACGAATGTTGAAAGAGTAGCCGAGTGCGTTCCAAGCCAATGAAGTACGATCTGTGAGTCAGTCCACAGAAACACAGGGGTGTCGGCGATGAACAGCGGTTTGATTTTCGCGCAAAGCCTTGCCAGGAGTAAGGCGCCACATAGCTCAAGCTTAGGTAGCGATTGATTTTTGATTGGTGCTACTCGTGATTTGGCTGTCAACAGAGTGACAGTAGTTTTACCTTCCATCGTCTTGGAGCGAACGTATATGGAGCAGCCGTATGCTCGAATAGACGAATCGCAAAACCCGTGGATTTGTATTGATTGATGACTTGTTGCACCACAATATCTTGAAACGGAGAGCGTATTGAGATTAGTTATGTCATCGAGGAAGCGTTCCCAGGCCAACTGTAGGGTTTGAGGCACAGACTCGTCCCAATTCAGCTTCAGAAGCCACAGCTCTTGTAAAATGATCTTAGCGGCAATAACAACTGGTCCGATTAGTCCCAAAGGATCGAAAAGCGCTGATGCAATGGACAAAATTGACCTCTTAGTTGTTCGCCCATTCACAGGTTGCTTAGGCTGAAACGAAAATAGGAAAACATCGTGAAGCTGATCCCCCCTAAAGTGCTGGTCGTCAGATCCTCGTTCAAGTTAAGATCCTTCATAGTGTCATCCTCTCGGAACATGTGGTGATTTGAATGTCACTTGGCCAAAGTGAAACAGCCACGTCTCAGCACTTCCGTGACTTCGTGTTTGATACGAGATATTTCGGCCAGAGTATCGGCACCACAAAGTAGATCGTCAACATAGAATGACGTTTTGACTACACTAGCACCAATAGGATAACTAGCTTCATATGTATCAGCAATGTAGTTGAAGCTCTGCACAGCAAGATAAGGGGCAGATGCCATCCCATACGTCACTGTATTTAATTGGTATGTGCAAACTTCGTCATCGGGCGTACTTCTCCACAATATGCGTTGGAATTTGCGATCGTCTGCATCCACTAGAATTTGACGGTACATCTTCACTATATCAGCTGTAAGTGCGTAACGAAACAAGCGAAAGCGTAAAAGCAAGATGTACAGCTCGTTCTGTAGAGTAGGCCCGACGGCTAATATGCCATTAAGCGATTTTTGCGAAGTGGTTTTGCACGAGGCGTCAAAGACAACTCTGAGCTTAGTTGTGGTGCTGGTTGGCTTCAAGACGTAATGGTGGGGTACATAGTAATGTGGGGTGTTGAGGTCGACTTTCTCGACTGCGCTCATACGTCCAAGGTCGCGATAATCATCCATAAAGGCGATGTATTGTTGTTTCAGATCATGACAGCGGGCTA